CTTGCTCGCTGCGGCTCGAAACAGCTCCGTTGAGATTTTATTAAACCATGTTCTTAAATTCCGCAGCCATGATATTCTCCTTCTGCCGGGTCCTCGCTTACCTTTGACTTTACCTTGCAATATAGACTGCAGCAGGGAGTAACGGTGCTTTTCTCATAACGTGTCCCAGATATTGCAATTTTATGCGTTTGATCATAAATACAATCTCTGGTTCCTTCTTCATTTTTCCTAGAACTTCCTTGTTCGTGATCCTTGCTGTTCATGATATTCTCAGCATTCTTCTATAAAGCCTCATCTCAAATGCTTCAAGTTTTTTAATAGTGGTGTCTGTCCATGCCTCCGCCCCGTACAACAACACAGAGAAAACATAGCATCTCAAATGTCTCATTTTTGTATCTAGAGATATGTTGTGACTTTTGAAGATGGCGCTCATTTTGTTAAAGACCGTTCTTGCCTTTTCTGTACGGCACTTTATTTCCTGTACATTGCTCCATTGTTCGTTTATAATAGTTCCAGGTAGCAATACTGTTTTACTCGCTCTATCTGCGTCCCATTAATGTATAGATGAGCCCCGTTTATTATTCTCCTTGCTGATAATCATTTGTTTTGTTTTGTGGGTTTTAATGTTTAGTTCGTACTGTTGACTGTACTCGTTTATTCTGTGCATTATCCTCTGAAGTCCCTCTAAACTATCTGCTATCACCATGGTGTCGTCGGCATATCTAACATTGTTTACTCTTTCACCATTTGGAAGGATGCCTTCGTCTATTCCGTAAAGAGCCTCGTTAAAAATTTTATCTGAGTACATATTAAAGGGCCCGCGTTAGCGCAAGCGGTAGTGTGCTTGCCTCGCATGCCGGTGGTCGTGAGTTCGAATCCTACAGCCGGCAAGAACAACTAGGCATTTTTATAATGTCTATAGGCCCCAGGTTCGACTCAGCCTGAATAAAATGAGTACCTTGGGTAAAACCAGGGGTAATAATAGGCGGTTGAAGCGTAGCACTGGCCATGTTACCTTCCTTGTATACCGTAGGCCTAGATATAGCAGACTACCCTGCTATACTCCCAAAGCCGCGTGCGGTATAAAACGGGGAGACTATTATTATTACATATTAAATATCAACGGCGATAGGATACATCCCTGTCTTACTCCACGTAGTATTTTTATGTGATCTGTTTCTGCCCCGTTAATTTTCATGTATGCGGTCTGATTCCAGTAGAGTTCTGAAATTATTCTGAGGTCTTTGTCATCCAGGTCTGCCTCTTTTAAAATGTTTATCATCTTTTGATGTTGGAACTCTGTCAAATGCCTTTTTATAGTTTGATCAAGCACGCGTATACGTCGCAGTTAACGTTCCTGCATCTTTGAATCAGTACCTGTATTCGAAAAGTGCCTCTCTGGTACCCACTGCGTTAATGAAGCCGAACTGTCTGTCCGATATTTGTTCCTCGCACTTCTTATAAATTCTTTCATGGCTGACTCTAAGAAACAGTTTCAACATGTGGCTCATTAGGCTGATTGTTCGATATTCTTCGCACTTTTTAGCCCCCTGTTTTTTAGGTATCGCTATGAATTCTGATTCTAGCCATTTATCAGGGATGATTCCTGTATTATATATTTTATTAAAGACAGCCGTGATCCAATTTATTCCTTCTTCCTCCAAGAGTTTTAAAAATTCAGCTTCGATATTATTAGGCCCTACAGCTTGCCTGCTTTTCATCTGGTTTATTGCTTCTTCTACCTCGGATTTAAGTATGTCCGGGCCCGTCATCCTCTCTGAAAATGGATGTCTATAATCCGTTCTTTGATCTTGAAAAAGTGTCTCCAAATATATTATCCATTTGTCTTTCATCTCTTGGGTGTCAATGATTAATTTTCCATTGGTGTCTATGAGTTTCATTTGTGGTCGCTTTTTAAAAGTACCCGTTATTTCTTTTACCTTTTTATGTACATTAAAATTGTCATGCTTGTCTTGTAGTCTTTCTATTTCTTTACATTTCTCTACAGCTTCTTTTTCTTTAGCTTCTCTTATTTTTCTTCTGATGTAAGCCTGCATTTTTTTATACTCATCTTTATTTCCTTTAATTAACCTTCTGCGTTCCATTAAGTGAAGAATTTCTGGAGTTATCCAAGATTTCTTCTTTGTTTGGTTTTAGCAGATCTTGTTTAGTTTTCTTAATTATTTCTTCGAATTGATTGATTTATTTTTTCTACTTCATCGATAAACAAGTCAGTGTTAAAATCATCGTCCATCTTGGCACATTTCGTACGTCTAACCGGCTGTAATCGTGCTAATCAACTGAACAAGAACACGTCTAGGCCTGATTGTTGTACTTCAATACGCGCGACGTCGCGCAAATTACGCGCGAATCAGGATACTGGCGACGAGGAAAGACAATTGTGCGCGATCTCAAGTTTACGCGCGATAACGCGCGAACATTTAAACATTTGTATATGATTACTCTGCATCTTTAGTCGCTCGGTTTGTTGTAAGCGCGTTCAGGCGCAATCATTTGAACTTAGCCTAAAAGTCGACAAATTATAATTTCGTCTCGAATTGAAAGGGTTGGGACTGTTGGGAGGCAGTGGAAAGTTCTCTTTCCACTTCACACGTTGTTGTTAAGTGGAGATGTGCTCTTTAGATCACCTGGTCCAAAAATGTCTGCCTATTAGCTGAATTCGTTCAAAACGAGAAAGTCTGTTTTCTTTGATGTCTCACTGGTTGATTGGGTCAGGAATTGACGATCAGAGGAAAGAGGTGAAATAGGCCTTAAATTTGAACATGCTTTAGCCTTATACAGAATCGTCGTAAAATTTTCGTAAGTAAGAGAGGCGTGGTCGACTCTAGAAATTGTGTTTATAAATAAATGTAACAAGCTTAATTACAAAAGCTATTCTACATCATCTGTTAATGTAAGCATGCCGTAAGACTTCTTGGAGGGTCTCTGTAAGTTGAAATGTAAATAGAAAATGACAAAACTAATTTTAGCACATAGGATGTCCTGCTTTAACAGTATATACCTAAGTTAATAATTATCTAAATATTTTTAGAAATTTAATTAGAAATCTAATTACATATTAATTACCAGAAGAATGAGCCGCCCGCACTGGGCGTGCATGATTTGGACGCTAAATTTAAAATTCGACACTGAAAAATAAAATTACCTGTTTCTGCATACATGATTTGGACGCTGGGTGTAATTGAAATGTAAATGGAAAGTCAGGTAATAAAATTCTAGAGATTAAGCTTGATATGGTTTATTTTGTCACTTTGAAATAAATACGACATACTACATTTTACGAAATGGAATTGATCGATACAGTTAGTGTTGATACTCATGTATCCTATTTCTAACGAACATAATTTTTTTTCTACTCTTTGGATCTTTAAGTCTATTACTTTCACTATTACAGACACTATTAATTTTAATGTAAGTTTCAGTTTGAAAATTTTTTAAAACATCAATAAAATGGAAAATATTTGGATGAGGCATGGTAAAAATTATCATTTAAACGCGGAGTGGAACGATTCACAAGCATTAGTTGTTAATTGTAAACTCTCCACTCATCGCAGCCCACATCTCCGACGGAAATTGTTGCGTGGTCGCCAATGTAGTTGTCCAATATTTAGTCGGAAAACTTTTCAATTTTTAAATCCTTTGGTTGAATAGCCTATAAAATCATATATGAAAGATTCTTCGACTACTGAGGGAGGTAAAAATGGCAGCCCAAAAAATATATTTTAAGCCATTTTAGATATTTCACTGTCTGCCAATTTATATTCCCGAATTAAGCCACAACCACCGATATTACGATACCAAGCTTGCATAAGATGAAAAACGGCACCCTTTAATGTGCACATTTGGAAATTCAAAACGCGCAGCATTGTGGATAGCAATTTCAAAATCGGAGAAAATGATTTTTGGATTGAGTCTTAGACCAATTACTTCACATTTGCGTTTCAAAACATTAAATAGTTTTATATAGTTTTATATAGGTTTGTTCCGATTTGTCGGGAAGTAAACAATAACACAATGGTATATAATGTCCATTGATAAATACATGTATGGTAAAAAATTGCTTGAAATATTGAGCACAGTAACTAAATGTACCGTCCATATAAATCGTTTCACTGCCGCACAGAAAAACACATTTTAGTGTTACACGAGTAGATGATAATGTTAGAACTTAGTTCAACCGCAAATATAAAATTCTCGTCTTTTGAAGTGTTTTGATATTCATAATATTTACCGCAGCAATGGTTTCTTCTTTACTTTTGGGCAGTTTCGGTTGAGCCATTCGCTGTTCACTTGTATATTTGATTTCGTATTAAATTAACGTCCTTTAACAGACATGTGGGCTCAAGCAATCTACATTTTCTTTCAACGCACTATGTATGCTTTTGGACGGCCTTTTGGTCAAATTATCCTTAGCCTTCCTTTTGGCACTGCTACGCACAATCTGTCTATTAAGCGTCTTGATATCACACTCGTAATTATGTTTTAGATTACTTCGGATCACAAACTTTTCTGACCCTTTCGTGAATATCTTCGCTTTACACGACCGTTTTACGCACCTCCAATACGTTTCTCCCGATTTTAGTACTTTATCTTGAGAAAAAGTAAAACTGTTCACTTTGAGCAAAATTTTACCACGATCACTTACTAACGTTGAAATTTCCTTGTTCACTTTTCACTATTCTCTGACAACTAATAACTAGTAACTAAATAAATTTCAATGACCATTATTAAACCCTAATTATATCTAATGTCTGGTACCTGCAATAATCATTCCGGCAGCGTCCAAAACAAGGGTACTTTTAAGACCCTCAAGTACTTCAGCGTCGAAAACATGCCCTCCCGCCGCACTATATCTTAAAACAGAGCTATCAAAACCTACAAATCTGAGCTTTCTACAATCTTTTTTACCGCAACTGTACACGAAAGCACGGCATATGTTCTTTATTTCTCCAAATATTTGATTACAATTTTTGTTTCAGAACGAACGGCATACCGTATTTCAGCGTAGTGTTCAAGCAAATGGACAGTCTCATAGCAGAAGAAGTCGTGGCGTTTCTGCACCAAAATGAACATCCCGACACTGCTTATAATCGGCTGATTTTCTCCGTATATCTGGAAGTCAAGGATTTGGCTTCATTTAGTCAACATCTTCCCGTGGGAGGTGACCATAAGTTACTTTTGTCGCATTGTCATGATTGGTTCGAGCCAGCAGTTAGCTGTTGGCTTACGTCCTGTCGAGGAAGAGCTCTGCAAAGGGTGAGTTGGTATTTATAATATAAAACTTAATTTTAACGTCATAATTTTATATTTAAAATAATCTGTTAATAAAATTAGCGATCTCAGCGAAAAGTAGTGCAAGAAAGAGAAAGAAGAAAACAAGTTTCTACAATTAGGATCGTGAATATTGAAAAATAAGAAAATAGTGCAGATTCAAAACATATCTGTTTAAAAAATTACAAATGCATGGCAAGGCTTGTGTCATTTTGTTCTGTAAACTATTGGTTATGAAAATAATTGTTTTTATAATATCTTCGGAAATTTCACGAATTGTAATAAAGTAGTTTGAGTAAATATTTTAATGTAATTTATCTAGCTTATTTTAAATGCACAATTCCTACTGTAGAAAATGAGTATGATCAAAAGAGTAACAATTTTAAAAGAAATTTTCAATCTTTAGCTTTCTCATGGAACGATGAACGAAAGAAGTCAGCTTAAAAATAGAATTACTCAGAGTATAAACGAAAGCATAATGTGATTCGAAGAAAAATCAGGGAAGCCAAAGAGTTATGGATGCGAGCAAAATGTGAGGAACTAGAAGAATTGCAACGAAAACATGACGAATTATAACACACATAAGAAAATAAAAGAAGTTACAGTACACAATAGAAATACACCAATAAACCATTAACGAATATATGAAGGTCATGCACTATCCCTATGAAGACGAAGTAATGGAGGAATGGGAAAACTACATTAAAGCATTATTTAAGGATGATCGAGGATCACTACCTAACTTAAGTGCAAATACAGGACCATCAATCTTAAAAGCTGAAGTGGACAAAGCCAACACCAAGCCAAAAACAATCAAAGCAGTGGACAGATCAAATATACAGCGAATGGCTAAAATTACTCTCAAATGGCAATATAAAAGAACACACTGTACTTTTCAATCAAATATATGATACCAGTGAAATTCCATCGGACTGGTTTAAATCCGATCTTATATTCCTCTACCATGAAACCAAACGTTTAGAAATGTAGCGATTGTAGACTCATTAGTTTAATGAGCCATGCCATGCCAATAAATACTGTTGCATATCTTCTAAATCCGAATTAACAACAAGTGCGAAGAAATAATTAGTCATAGCAGTTCGGGTTCCGGAGATGCCTGGGAACATAGAGAAAGCACTATTTTTTATGCAAACACTCCTTCAACGATGTTGGGAGGTAAGAAAACCCGTATATATGTGGCTTCATTGATTTTGAAAAGGCATTTGATCGCGTTCGGCATACCAGACTAATTACCGCCTTGCAGAGCTTTACTGCTAAACCAAACAGCCGATTATTAATACCAACAAACAGGGAATCAAAGCCACTCAGTATTGGAACGAGGGCGTAAGACAAGGCTGTGTTTATTATACTCTCCCCCACCCTCTTTAACGTGTATTCCGAAGAATCATATATTTTTTTAGGGAAGCTTTTTAAAGATCAAAAAGGAATAATCATAGGCGGAGTAACTAATTAAAAACAATATACAGTACGCCGACGATACTGAGATTCTAGCTGAAAACATCGACTGATCTGCAGGAGCATATCAATAGAGTTGACATGGAATGCACAAATTGGGGACTGTCGATAAAAAATCGATAAAAACTTAAATACATGGATGACCAGTAAAGTGGATATCGGCGCAACCCAACCGATATTAGAAGCCAACAACCGCTGCAGAGAGTTCAGAGATTCAAATACCTTGGGATGTTGGATTACCCAAAATCTAGATTCCCCTTCGTAAATTCGAATGTAGAATTGAACAGGCAAGAAACTCATTTCAAAAAATTTAAGCCTCTATTATCCAATAACTCCATTAAAGATTGGAAATCCGTGAAAAGATGTTACGTGTGGATCTGTACTTTTTTAGGATGTGAAACTTGGACTTTTAAACGACGATAGCATGATATAAAATCGGAGGCGTTTGAGAGGTGGTTGTATCGAAGGAATACTAAAAATTCTCATGGACAAAGCAGAACCAGAAACCGAAGAAGTTCTTCGAAAAATGGGGACATCAACGAACTCCATATTAAATAATATTAAGAGGCGTTAACACTAGAATATCTTTGGACATATAATCAGGGACTAAGATATGAGTTCCTTCGGTTAATTCTCAACGGTAAAAACCGTAAGGAAAGAAATTGGATAGGACTGAAGAAACTCTTTTGGTTGAGGAATTTGCGGCAGTGGACAGGTTTGGTCACAGCGGACCAAATAGCTACATCGTAGCGAAAGACCGATGATTCAGTATAACAATATTATAGAAGCGGTCGTCCGCCGACGGTCGTAGGGTATGGCACTGCTAAGAAGAAGAAACTTTCTTCAGTATATGTTTTCATTTATTTCACATCTTGCACTATCAATAGACCGTGAAATAATTAGTATCCGTCAATATTAAGATGGATATCAACTTATATTAAAAATAATTCCCTTAGATACAGTTTTCGTGAAGTTTACGTATTTTCGTCCGTCTTTATATTTTTGATTTTACGCTACAATATTATGTTTCTGTATAACCACAATTTATTAATGTGTATGTTTACTTACATACAAAGATTTATATGATTGTGTAGGTGGATGTTTGTGGTTATATTGCTATTAATGTAAGGGCGAAATCTATTTTTGATCCGCAACCCTTGCTTATGAAATTATTAATATAAACGAGAGGATGACTTAATGAACGTGTTTCGTAGAATATAACGAAAAGCCAATTCGGTAACGTATCTAAAATAAAGTCCCCAGTTTTCATTTAATTTTTTTTTCAAATGATGTTGGTGGATTTCGTATATACACGTCGCTAGACCTCAGAAACCTTTTTTTTATTCATGCAAAATTCATGTTTTACCATTTTTTTCCTAGCTTCTCTCTAAGACGTCGTTATTCGCATCTTTGTTTTTGTTATTTTTTGTTAGGATTTTGTCTGTATCTGTATCTGTAGACTACGGAGGGCGAGTTAAGTTCCACAGAACTTAGGCCACAATTGTACATCCTCCCAGGTACCTGTCGTCTTTAGCTCATTGTCCCATCCTGCCATTTTTAGGAAGGTGGACAAGTCACCAGGGGACATCTTCCTTATGTGGGCAGGTGTGGGCCATTGTTCACCGAACGCTTACTCTCGTATTAACGATAACTCCGGGCATTCACATAGGATATACTCGACAGTTTCGTCTTCTCGTTCACACTTCATTCAAAGAAGGAATAGCTACTAGCCCAAAATGTGGAGATGTGTAGTTGACAATGAGCAATTAAAAAAACGCAACTTGTCAGGTATGTTTTTCCTGGTCATTCCCAAATACTTCTTTGATTCTGACTTTTCAAGGTTACTTAGTGTCACCTTGGCAAATCAACATCCTTGCTCTGCTTCCTATCATTTCACGGTTTGGATGTGGGAATGACATTTGACCAGTACCTCGATTGTTGTATGCATTGAGCAACCAAAAAGATCCCCAGGTCCTAAGAGTCTTAGGCCTGCCGCCTTCTTAGCTAATTAGTCAGCAATGCGGTTGCCTTTATTCCTATTGTGTCGTTTGGTCCAACAAAGGGTGATTTTATTACTATTCGAAGCTTGAGAGTGAATTGTGACACTCCATTACTAAACCTGATGTGACACGTGGTCTATTCAAGACCTTTTTGCGTTATCTCTTGTGCGACTATGGAAATAGCAGCCAGTTCTGTCTTAACTACGTTGATAATTTTTGATCTTCAAGCAGCTCTTTATGTTTGTTTGTAGACATTCTTAAACGCTCTGAGGTTTGATTGATAAGAGTCTCAATCCTCCTTGAGTTTGGTGCGTTTTGCTCTATTAAAAGTTGTTCTGGCTGTTCTTCCTAGGTGTTCCAGTTCAATGCACCACCAATGAGTTAAGATTCTGCAACTTTCGTGGACCATACCTTATCAGAACAGGATTTTTTTATAAGGCATCGCTTTATGTAGTATTGGAATAGATACCGTAAAAATTTGCAATTTTGTATTTAATTTCTGGAGTTACAGCCTTTCATTCCGCAGAGCCATCTTCTAAGAGTTCGGGTAGTAGCGTCTTACATCCATCTCCCCTAGAAGGTCCGCGAGATTTGATAAAAGCTTTCGTTAGAGCTAATAGTATATGTTATCCAGATGACATAGAGATGTACTCCTGATACCTGTCAAGTTCGAGTATTTGATTCATATTCCAGTGTCATTGGCTAGCGTTGCTATCTATGTGACTGTTTTGGCTATGAAGGAATACATAAAATGGTAGGGTTTGGGTGGTGCCACTTTTTAAGATATTACAATCTTCTAATAATGTAGTCATAAAGAAACCTTATCCTCGAGGCGCATTTTATCTCTGCTGTCCCAAGCACTAAGAATGGTGGAGAGTTCTAATCACAGCCGATTTCTAACTAAGACAGTGGTCTACCAATTCTTCCATCTCATTTGTTGGTGGTAGGGTAGCTACATCTGAGAGTAGGTAGATCGATACTCTCGTATTGTTTGCACTTTTCCCCTGAGATTTCACTTAACCTCATGTTAACGTCAGAGATGCAAATCTACGCCCTGGGGAGGCTTTGATTATTCCGTGGAACATAAATATGGCTGGTCTCGGATGTTGATTGCCTTGATAAGCTGAAAATTTTGACACATTTTAGATTGCTAAAACTCAGGATATTTAAATGTTATTTATCTTTATTTTTTTTTTTTAGCCAAGTTAACACCTTGGATTGCTATTTCAGGTATGTGTGTCGGCACTCATAAGGTAGTACTTACTGATTAAGTACTTTTATTGTCAATGCATATTAGCAACTCAGTTATAAGAGTTTCTCGAAGGTATCCTAAAATAGGAGCAGAATATGTCTTTCTTCTTATGTTGGGAGAGTATATTTTGGTCAAAATTGTGCATTATACAAATATCTACTATTGTGTCATATTGTTTTATATTTGTAAATGTAAAGCGTTACGATTATTAAAGCCTTGCTTCTGCTGAGTAAGCAGTAGGGTCATTTGATCAGAGT